AAAACATTGCTTTACTTATTGTTTGAATGCTACCTTTGTGCACTCACCACGCGTTGTGTACAGGAGTGTGCTCCTGTCCTCACCGAAGCATGCACGTTCTGCGCAATTGGCGATGTCACACAATGCTCCTTTGTTCCCTCCTGGGTGGACAAGACCGCCGCAGGCACCGAAGTGTTTGCTGATGATCTCTGAATTATAGATCTACAAGTCTTGTGAGTTAAAAACCTCTCTCAAAGCCGTCACCTAATCTCTGCACGATCTCTCGATGGGCCCTGTCCTCGCAAAAGGCATTTCGCTGCCGCATGGAGGTACATGCCATTTACCACCCACTCAGGTACATCCCCTGAAGTGGCACCATCCTTTTCCAAATTCAACAAAAATGACTCATCCACCAAGGACTCGTTCATCAGGTCATTGAAGGAAATTCCAAAGAAATTGGGCACAATCTTTTCCAAGTGCTTGCACCACTTGTCCGAGACTTCTTCGAGGAAGGTGAAATTCTTGACAACTTCAGCCCGCGGTAGGTCGTACCAGTTGTTCACAAAACAGTACAGGTCATCGCATGGGACAACGTGATCACGGACAACCAAAGTCCGACCGTCGAACAGCCGAAAGGTAAAAGGCGTTGATGTAGAACTGTTCAGGATCGGAGAGTAGAAGGGCTCAAACCTTTCTTGACCAAGTTCTTACAAACAAACACGACACCTGATCAGGTCAGCGGATACACAAAAGTTACCGCGGGGATCCGCGGGGTAACATGAGCCCACTTGCAAGTGAGAAACGCCAAAGCAAAGTTGTTGACATTGCGCGTTCGGCGGGCAACTGCGCAATCTCTCGCCCAACTCGCCTCCGAACCAAACACGCACCAGCCATCTTGGTCATATCGAGCTGACACATCCATAATTGGATCCGCCAAATCCTGGAAAGGAGGCTCGAAGGGAGCTCCGCTCAAGCAAGCTCGCACTTTTTGAGCGAAAAGAAAGGAAGGACCAACAACATAACTTAGTGAATATATATGACGCTTGCTTGACAATGATGTCTCCTAAAACCTTATCGCACAATGATGTGGAGCTGCCAAACCTCTAGCTTGCATCTTTCTGTTCATCCATACAAGTCAAGTGTCCAAAAGAATCTAGGGACCAAGTCATTAAGCCCCGGCCTTTCGGGCTAGCCTCCTAGCCTAAGAAGCTGGTTAAGCTTAGCAGCAACTTCTTAGCAGTTAGTGCTTAGGGTCTACCCCCTTGGCCCCCCCCAAAAAACAACAACACATACTCCGACATACAGGATGAGACTTAGCATGAACCGACCCGACATGATCGCATGAACATGCAAAGGGCACCTGGGATTCATACTAGGTGCACAAACGCCTGGTATGGGCCTGGGAGATACAAGGTGACCTGAAGTAACAATACAAAAAGCAAACAAACAAACCTCTGGACACCAGGATAGGACCAAAACGACCCCATCTTCATTGTCCAAGTTGAATTATATACAGTAATGAATTTCTCTGTGCGATATTTGGATTGAGCCTTGAACTGCGCAACAGTGAATCTGGGCACACCTATCCTTCATTGTGAGGTTGGACCGTGGCACACAAATGCCTTTCATAGTCTCGTTGTGGCCACCCTCGACCAAGTAATCAGTGAGACTCACATGAGTCTGCAGAAACTGGCAGCTGGGGGCCTCGCAGGCATGGCTGAAATGTACGCTGAACCCAGCTGGCAGTGTTGAAATGCCAGTCGTGCAAGGGAGACAGTTCTATAAACATAAGCACATGCAGTTTCAGGCAACATGCACAATACCCACGTTGGTGCAAGTGTATCATCAATCATTGTCAATCATACCTCAGTAAAAATGAGTAAACATAAAGTCACAAACAATTGCACGAAAAAGTGAAGGAGCTGGCAAGACTCTTGCATGACTAGCTTCTAGCACCTCATTGTGGATATGTCCACTCTTTGCACGCGTTGCGCCGACTAAGGCGCAAAACAACCAAACATGACGAGCCATTCCGCCATTGCTGCGGGTTTTCAGCTTGCGGATGTTCAGCTTGCCGCGGGGGTCGAGCCAATAAGTCGAAGGATGACTCGTTGGTCCACGTTTCTCTCAAATTATCCTGCAAGATCTTCCAACCTGAGGTTCAGCAGCAAAAAACATTCAGCTCTAAGTTACCGATTGCCGCTTCCAATAAACATCTGTAAGGTGAGCAGCAAGAACAATTGTGAACACATACCTCAATGAATCACAGTC